GACAATTCTTATTACACACACATATAGTGCAATTTTTCATACTTCTATTTGTATATAAAGTATATTCACACCAATTCATGTCTTCATACATGTACTTTGGATAATGATGTCCATTACATTCCACCATCCTTGCTAATCCCCTGCCTCCTCCCTTTCCCCTCCCACCCCTTTTCCCTATCTAGAATTCATCTATTCCTCCCATGCTCCCCCTCCTTACCCCACTATGAGTCAGCCTCCTTATATCAGAGAAAACATTCTGCATTTGTTTTTTGGGGGATTGGCTAACTTCACTTAGCATTATCTTCTCCAACTCCATGCCATGATTTTATTCTCTTTTATTGCTGAGTAAAATTCCATTGTGTTTATATGCCACATTTTTTTTAACCCGTTCTTTCACTGAAGGGCATTTAGGCTCCACAGTTTAGTTATTGTGAATTGTGCTGCTGTAAACATTGATGTGGCTGCGTCCCTGAAGTATGCTGTTTTTAAGTTCTTTGGGTATATTCCGAGGAGAGGGATAGCTGGGTCAAATGGTGGTTCCATTCCCAGATTTCTAAGGAATTTCCATACTGCTTTCCATATTGGCTGCACCAATTTGCAGTCCCACCAGCAATGTATGAGTGTACCTTTTCCCCCACATCCTTGGCAACATTTATTATTGTTTCTCTTCATAATAGTGGCCATTCTGATTGGAGTGAGATGATACCTTAGAGTAGTTTTGATTTGCATTTCTCTAATTGCTAGAGATGATGAACATTTTTTCCCATATATTTGTTGATTGATTGAATATCCTCTTCTGAGAAGTATCTGTTCATGTCCTTGGAGATGCTATTTTTTACATACTTATTTTTTTTTAGTTGTAGTTGGACACAATACCTTTATTTTATTTATTTATTTTTATGTGGTGCTGAGGATCTAACCCAGGGAGGATCGAACACGTGCTAGGCAAGTGCTCTAACAATGAGCCACAATCCCAGCCCCAAGGGATGCCATTTTTAAAGATATCGTTAGAACAGATCCAAAAAATTGTTAATATGAGTCAGTCATTCTTATGGACTGTTAAGTAGGATTACAGATTTGCAAAATGCCTCTAGAAGGCCAATTGGCCGTACAGGTTAAAAACCTTAATGGCATTTTATGTCCATAGAAATCTCTTGTATGGAGATAGATGAAATTTCAACAATGATGTATAAGTCAAAGGCATTTATTGCAGCATTATTTACAAGAGTAAATTTTAGTAACTACAGGAGAATAATTAAGCAAATGACATTATATCCAAATGATAGAATAATAAGTCAACATTAAAAATGGTGATATATATATATGATTTAATTAAATATATGAAAATGTTAATAGTGGTTATTCTTTTTCAAATTTTTTTTAGTTGTGGATGGACACAATACCTTTATTTTTATTTATTTTTATGTGATGCTGAGTATTGAACCCAGTGCTTCACACATACTAGGCGAGTGCTCTGCCGCTGAGCTACAACCCCAGCCCAAGTGGTTATTCTTTAATGGTAGGATTATAAATAACTTTTATTTTCATCTTTAAGTCTTTCAATATTTTCCAATTTCCCTACTTGGTATTTACAAATTACTTTCCTTCAAGATAACCAAGTCTTTCATGCATTTCTTTCTAATGATACAGAATATCTTAATAATGTAAAATGGTGAATCACTAAAATTTGACTATTTAGATGAAAACTTTTGCAATCTGAAAAAAAATATGCTATTCAAATCTCAGTCTAGGAAGAAAAATTTCATTTCTTCTTACAGTTAACTCTTGATTATTCTTAATAATGAATGGAAAAAATTGATAATCTACTATAGTGATTCAAAGTCACTAACATCTGTTCTTGTGTCTTGCACTTCTTAATGTATTTATTACTTAAAATCATTCAAATTACCAGATAAGTTCACAAGAAAGTTTTTGAAACCTTGACTCCCAAGTTTTTTAGAGGAGAAAAATATGGTGAATGTCTTAATTTTGTATCTACACCAATATTTTTGAAATATAGTCATTTTTGAGAGGTTTGAGGATAGATGTGAAGGAAGTAAAATTTCTTTACTCATTCCCTCTGAGATGAACTTGACCTTGTTACATTTTTTCCTTTGATCCTCCTTTAAAAAAATCTTCAATTTTACTTTTTATATTCATTTAGACACCATTTATCAAATTCTTTTCATGTTCTTTCAGTAATCTGGTTATGCATTTTTATTTTCTAATGGATAAAAGATTATATATGTATTGTGTTCAAGAGGATGTTTTAAAATGGGTATATATTGTGAAATGGTTAATTCAAGCTAATTAATACATGCATTACTTGATGTACTTAATCAATTTTGTGATGAAAACACTCCAAAAACTACTGAATTAAGAGTATTCAAGAATACAATACTTGCTATTATCTATATTACCATATGGAACTCTTGAACTTATTCCTCCTATGTAACTGAAATTTTGTATCCTTTGACCAGTAAGTCTTCCCTACCCCTTATGCATTTTGAATGTCTTCAATGATAGGTCACATTCCTGCAACTACCTACTTGGTGTCGCATCCTTGATTCTCAGTGAAAATGATCTGGATTATGGATCATTTCTTAGCTATAAACATGTTCAATACACTTTTGCAAACTAAGTCTTAAGAGCATTTTGTAATATTCTTTTCCTTAGATTTATCTCTGAAACAATAAATGACTGTTGGTGTTTATTTCCAGTGAGATAGGTTTGAAAAGCACTTTGAAAAGAATATGACTTCCTTCTGGAAGCTTGAAAGTAACTAGTTACGAATGAATGAACCTTCTATTTTCTTTATGGAAAATTGAAAAGATGCTTCAAGCTGTGTTTAATGTTAAGTTTGGCACATATTGAATGCATTGCAAAGATTCTGCAGAAGGAATCCTGTTGTGAAATTAGATGAAAAACAGTGGTAAACCGGATTTCATTTAAGTGAGTGTTTTTACAATTTAAATTTTGCTTCTGTCTGGTATTTTAAAAAAATACGTTTAGTTCACAGCTTCTAGAAATGTAAGAGACCAAAGAACACCACAATGTAGCAAAGCAAATATGGATATTGCCTTGAGGTGGATGAGACTTCCTGGGAAGAGAAAAAAACTACATTTCCCAATTGATGTTACTGTTTTCCACGGAATTGGTAAACATAAATCATTTTTATTTTTTTTCCCCAGATCTTCAGAATTCGGAGTCAGTTTTTTTTCAGACTTACAATAGAAAAAAAAAAGACATTGCTCATTTTTCTGTATAATCCATCACCCTCATACATATACGGGTTGTAAGATATCAGGGACAAATTCTCACATCTTTCCACCCATCTAACTGTGACCTGTGTCCAAATAATGGACACACACCCTTCCGTGAACATTCTCCAGCAATCCTTTTTTTCTTTGTCCTTTAGTTGTTTTTTTTTTTTTTTTTCTCTTCGACCCTTCAGGGGCTCACAAGCTACTCTGTGAGTAGGATGCTCTAGGGCAGCAGAGTGCAAGACAACAGCCTAATTGTCTTGGAAGAATCGGCCTGGGACTGCTGAAGAGCTGCCAGCGTAGAAAGCAAGCCTGACCACAGCGCTGTGGGCTGGAGCGTCGCCACGGCAACAGCGTGGTGCGCACGCCGCCCCCGGGAGGACCGGGAAATGCGGAGTCGGAAGTCTCCGCCCCCAATCCGCTAGAGAGTAGTGTCTACCGCCTGAGCGTCGTCATGACAACTGCGCCGCGCGCCGGCAGCCGCCGAAGGGCGCGGAAACCCTCTCCTGAGGCCTGGGGGGCGGTAGTGAACGCAACCCGGAGCGTCGCCACGGCAACGGCGCCAGAGAGCCGGCCGCGGCCCGAGGGGTGGGGCAAGGGGCGGGGAAAGGCGAGCCCGGTAGTCCCCGCCCCCGGCCTGCTGGGCGGCGGCGACCCAGCGGCCCGCAAGGATTTGAAACCATTTGGTGGCGGCGGCGGCGGCGGCCGAACGGAGGGCTTCCTTGTAGGGGCTCCAGGTTCTCGTTTTTCGCATTTCCCCCTCCCACCCCTCCTCCCAGGTTCTCAGTGGAATTTTGCGCGGGTTGGCGGCCGCCCCTCCTGTTGCGGGCTCGTGCGGGGCGGGGCGTCGCCCGCAGGCCCGGGCCGGTTCTCCAGGCCTGGGGGGGCGCGCGCCCCCCGTGTCGCCTGCAGACTGAAGTCCCGAGTGGTAAAGTTATGAGTAAAGTTTGATCAGCCAGGCGAGGGTGGGGGGGGGGGTCTGGTCTGCAAGAAGAGGTCCAGAAATCTGCCCCCGGCGCTTGCGGCTGTGGAGAGAAAGCTGTGTTCTGGGACAAGGTAGGAGCGCGGCCCGGCCCGGGGCCGCGCAGGCCGCCGGTCCCCGGTGCCCGCGCTGGCCGAGGAAGGACTGCGGGGAGCCTGACTGCTAGAGTTGCGGAAGCCCTGTCAGAGCAGAGCCGGTGTGCGCTGGGTTTGGGCAGCACCAGGTGCGCTTGGCTTGTAGAAACAATCCTAATAAACATCCCGCTTGGAAAGGCCCTATTCCCGGCGTCAAGGCCTTAGGAAGACGTGCAGGGTTTCTGAGTTTTAGGTGTTCAAGAGGACAGAAGTAATCATGAACAACTTTTATTCAGATCCTTGCGCGCATTTTTGTTATTTGTCTTTAGTATTTAAAGATGAGTGAAAGAAAAGGCAAATGAAATGCCACCAGCCTCTCTGCAGTGGTCAGTCTCCACCGAAGAGGGAGAGCAGGGCAATTTGTACAGTGTTCTGGTCCAGCTGACTTCCGGTGGGGAAGGGGTCAGCTACTTTACCGGGCTAAGCCTCCACTTCCTAATCAGGGTGAAGTGGCTTGTGGAAGTAGTGCCATCTGGCAGGGTGCTCAGTATACATTGAAATAAGTTTCTTTTCTTTTTCTTTCTTTCTTTGTTTTTTTTTTTTTTTTTTTTTTTTGCAGTGCTGGGGATTGAAGAAGCCAGGGCTTCATGGATGCTAGGCAAGCACTCTACCACTGAGCCACACCCCCAGCCCTAGGATACCTTCCCGAAGTGCTCAGAAGCACCTGGCACAGTCAGGGAAGGCGCCTGTCAAAACATCCAAATGTAAGCAAGATAAACGTGCACCTGTACAACTTTTTGATTTACTGACAAGTTGTCTTTTGAAGTATGTTTAAAATATGATTTGATGGAACATAATGGATTTTACACAACTTTCAGAAACATGTTAGGCAAGAGGCATGATATGTGGGAAGCGTATTCTTGACTTAGCAATTGTGGCTTTTTTCCCCCCAAGGTCTTTTCACGTTTGTGACTTGCTTATGTATTGCTGACTCCTATGGCAGCTAAGCACCTTGAGAAGGCCTTCTCCCATTTTGTGGCTGTCCACAAAGAAACAGTTTAACAAAAGACATGAATCAAATACAGATTATAGATATAAGCAAAAACCATCCATTTTTTTTTGCTTTTGAAGTAATTTATATGACTAGTAGTCACACAACAATTTATATCACTTAGAAAAGACACTCTAAGTACTTTAAGCCTAAACTAAAGATGTGGCTTCACTTATTTTTCAGTTTTAATAATTTGAATCTAATTCTGATAAATATAAAACTTCTTGATTAGCTGGATATATTCTTTGAAGGTTTGAAATGTTAATTTTTTTTTCTTTTTGAATTTGTTGGAGAATGAATAAGGGTTAAGAAGAAGCAGAGTTTTAGCCTTTACTAAACATCACTGACTTTATCTTTTTTAAAAATTTGTGCTATAGTATTGCATGTCATTATAGATTGCCTTTTTGTTTTTCTAATTTTATTAATTGGAGAGAAAGTTGACTTATTTGTAAGTGGCCAAATGGTGAGATACAATAGATCTGAAATTAAAATTTCAGAATTTCAATCTGAGTTTTGGGCTTGTTTTATGATTTTTGGTGCATCGTTTAACTGTTGCGTTGTAGTTTTCTCTAGCATTGAACACTAACATTTCCTGCTGGTATCAAAGGATTAGTTAAGAATCAGTGATTATGAGGGATCTTTTTACCTTTGCCATAGTTAATGATGCTCTTAGGACAAGATATTGAGCCTGGAAGTTCATCAAGGCCAAAGCTGTGCTTAAAATTCTTGGCTTATGAGTTTCCATTGGTTTATCTGTTTGAATAGCTGCTTTTCAATATTATGATCTAACATCAATTAGTGGTATCATAGCCTGTTTTACCAAGTACATAACTTATGGAATATATTATAGAAATGTAAGATGAAACCAACAATCACACACTCACATGCATACACACAGCCTCCAAACCAATCAACTAATCAAAAAATGCTTTTAAATCAAATTTATTTATTTATTTTTGCACTACTGGGGATAGAACCAGGGCCTTGCATACATTCTAAGCAAGTACTCTACCATTGAGCTGCATCACCAGTTTTAAGTAAAATTTATTTAACCAAGTCTTCAATTTGGAAATATTGTTATTTTACCATAATTCAGAAGGTATGATGACCAGTTTTAATAAATTATGAGCATATAGTATTCCTATTTTGGAAGACCTATTTGGTATTCAGAACAGAAACATTAAAAAACAATTAGTCATGACTGAGTACAGTGCGCATGCCTGTAATCCCAGCTGCTTGGGAGGCTGAGGCAGGACAATTGCATGTTCAAAGCCAACCTCAGCAATTTAGTAAGGCCCTCAGCTAGACCCTGACTCTAAATAAAATATTAAAAAAAGCTAGGGGTGTGGCTTGGTGTTACACACCCCTGGGTTCAATCCCAAGTACCAAGAAGAAGAACAACAACAACAAATTAGTCATGTAAAAGTGGAACACTAATCTACTTGGTTAGTGTTTATTTAGCAATTGTTTATTTAGCTTGTAAAATGTATCAGACAATATTCTAGGTACCTACTTAAATGTGCAAATTGTGATCCCTGTTCTCCAGGAGCAAATCCTAGATGATGGAAGATAATGTAAATAATATACAAATGCAAGTCAGTGGTACATAGGGCTTTGTGTGAGTAATGGCAGTGAGAATAGAAAAGCTGGCAGATTTGAGACAGAGTATTTGTTGATGTATCGGTTTATGTGAGTTTAGAGAATGGGAACACTGGAACTTCTATTCTGGCAGATGACGTAGAGGTTGATGCCATCAAGGAGAGTATAGCATAGGTAGAATAGACGTATGGGGAAATCATGAAAAATTTTCTTTGGGAGCTGTCGTAAATGGGAGTCTGGAGTTGCAGAGAGAAAGTGAAGTTTAAATGAAATTTAAGAGTGAATTATATGAGAAGTTACTTGAGTTACAGTAACTGAATGTGATAGCCTACGGAGAGTGTGCAAGTCAGATCAAAAGGAGGCTAAAGAGAGAGTGGAAGAATACCGATTTAATGTTAGGTGGAAAAGCAAGAGCCATTAAGAGAAGGGGAAGGAATGATCTGAGAGGCAGCAGGGGACCCAGGAGTGAAAGGAACTGCTGAGTTTCTAGGAGTAGTGAGTCCTAAGAAGTACATGATGGTGTGGAGATGTCAAACAGGGTGCAAATTGAAGCTAGCCCTTTGGATTTGTGAACTAGTGGATAATTAGTGAACTTTGAAAGATTTTCCATTGCAGGATAGAGCTGGGAGTTGATAAGAAAGAAAGAAGCAGACTGATGAGTGGAAGATTAGAATGAGGATTAGCATGGGAGGGGAAGGAGTCAGAGAATGTAAAATAGAGAAGAAGTAATTGATAATTGATAAATGACAGGAAGAACTATGGACCTTAGAAGTAGAGTTGTTTTGCTTTTTTCTGATACAGTAGCAAAGGAGGTAAGAATGTCTTTTTCTAAGAAGTAATTTGGGAGATGTTAGGAATACCATTTTACTATGGTGTTGCCATTCATTATTTTTTCCATGAATCAGGAAGAAAGATTTTTTTAAAATTGAGAATAAGGTGAGTTTGGAGTTGTTAAATGGGCATTAAGATATCTGGTAAAAGTTTTAAAGTGCTTTGTGGAGTAAGAAATATTAAGACTCCTTAGGGTTCAGATGGCATCAGAAGCTATCTGACTCCAAGGCAGTACCATCTTTTTCTTGCAGCCCTTTGGGTAGAGAAAAAGTGGGGCATTGAGGGAACTGTAGTCTTGCTCAGTAGAAAGAAAAAATCTAGTGGAATAAGAGAGAGCTTAAGAGGCTAAAGGGCTGTTATCAGCTGGAGGGGTTTCTTTGCAAGGCAGTGATGAGAATGGGGAGTGTGTTATAGTAAGATGGTTGGAGCCTCCAAAAAAAGGAATTTGGGGGTTGAAACTGGAAGAGTAGTAGTTGGGAAGTGGCAGCATGGATGTTGATCAGTGTTTTCTTTCCTGAGCAAGGTTGGATGGATGGAAAAAAGACTTCAGAGAATTCTTGTGTGCGCTTAAGAAAGACTTGTACAATAAAGTGGGAATAAAGTCAACAAATGGGAATAAAGTCAACCAGTGAAAGCTAAGGTTTACTTAGAGAAATAGGATAGAGAGAAGTTTCTGGAAGAGGTTATTGATAATAAAATGGCAGATGCTGAGGAAAATACTAGAAGCTGGTTTAGCAGAGAGAAGGCAATTGTAGAATAATGTAGCTTATGAGACAGATCAGAGCTTTACCCCAAATATTTAATTTGTAAGCTGAATTATATAAATATCACACAAAGGTAGTCCACATCCCTACCAAGACATTTCACATTTTAAAAGAACATTTAGAATATGGATATATTTTTAACCTAAAGAAGTTTTGTCAAAACCCGTATTTCTGATTTTTGGGGATTCAGTCTTTTTACATTTAGTAGGATTTTTTTTTTCTTTCTGTTAACTGGAAGAAATATGAACACTAATATTTTTTAAAGGATATTATAAAAGTTTTAAATTACAGCAGATTAACTTTTTTTTTTTTTTGCTATGCAGCTGAGTGAATTTTTGTATTTATGCATTGGTAGATTCTGAGGCCTCCTCTTTAGAGAGGGTACAGAACAATTCAACATCATATGTAGTTTCCTTGTGCCATTTTTTTGAATACATACTCTATTCTACTGCTAACTCTACTGACCACTGATCTGTTCTCTATGCTGAAATTTTTTGCCTTTTCTAGAGTATCATATAAATGGAGGTAATCTTTCAAGGATGGCTTCTTGCCCTTAGCATAAAACATTTGTAGTGTATCCATATTGGTGTGTGTATCAGTAGTCATTCCTTTTTGTTGTTTAGTACTAATTATTGTGTGCATATACTACAATTTATTTCATTCCCAGTCGAGGGAAATTTGGGCTGTTTCTGGTATTTGGTGATTCCAAACAAACAAAAAATTGCTGTAAGCACTACATTTGCATTTTTGGGAATATACATTTTTAATTTCACTTAAGTAAATACTTGGGACTGGGATTTTTGGGTTATATGGTAAGTGTATGTTTAACTTTGTAAGAAAATGCCAAACTGTTTTCCAAAGTGGCAGTATCATTTTACATTCCTACCAGCAGTGCAGGAAGCGTTTCTCTTGTTCAGGTCTTCACCTGCACTTAGTATTGTTGTCATTCTAAATTTTAGTTGTCCTAACGTGTTTGTAGTGGTATTTCATTATGGGTTTTTTTTTGGGGGGGTGGGGGGTACCAGAGATTGAACCCAGGGCCACTTAACCACTGAGCCCCATCATCAGCCCTTTTTATTTATTCATTTCTTTATTTTGAGACAGGGTCTCACTGAGTTGCTTAGGGCTTTACTAAGTTGCTGAAGCTGTCTTTGAACTTGTAATCCTCTTGCCTCAGTGTCCTGAATTGCTGGGATTACAGGCATGTCCCACTGCGCCTGGCTTTCTTAAGGGTTTTAATTTTCATTTTCCTACTGATTAATGATGTTGGGCATCTTTTTGCATGCTTACTTGCCATTATTTGTATTTCTTTTTGGTAAAGGGATTGATTTAGTTTTACTTTTGCTGGGAATTGAACCAAGGGCTTTGCTCATGCTAGGCAAGTGCTCTCCCACTGAGCTACACCCCCAGCTCCTAGAGATTGATTTATAAAAAATATGGTTATTTTTATTTGACATATAGTAATTGTACATATTTATGGGATATGATGTGATATTTCAAAACATGCAAATGATATATAATGATCAAGTCAGGGTAATTGACATATTTATTGCCTCATATTTATCATTTTTTTGTGTGTGTTGGAAACATTCAAAATCATCTCTAGTAACTATTTTGAAACATACAGTTATTTGCTGACCAGGCATTAATTTTTTTGTAGATTATTTTTATTGGGTTAAAATTTGAAGATTTCTTTTCTATATGTGTGAATGTATATAAATGTGTATAAGTGTGTGTATGTATATGTTTATATGTATAAATACATATAAACGAGTATAAAAGTGTGTATGTAAATGTGTACATATGTATGTGTGTATTTTTTCAGTGATGGGAATGAGCCTTGTATATGTTAAGCAAGTCTTCACCACTGAGCTATATTCCCAACCCTATATATTCTTTTTTTAAAAAAAAAGTTTTTTAGATGTTGATGGACCTTTATTTTATTCATTTATTTATATGCAGTGCTGAGAATCAAACCCAGTGCCTCAACATGCTAGGCAAGTGCTTTACCACTGAGCCATAACCCCAGCCCCTATATATTCTTTTTTAAAAAACATTCTTTATATTTAATTATATACTATATATTTATATTTATATATATTTTATATATTGATACACCTTATATACTTATAGATCTTATATTTAAAAAAAATTTTTTAGTTGTAGATGGACACAATACTTTTATTTATTTATTTTTATGTGATGCTGAGGATTGATCCCAGTGCCTCAAACGAGCTAGGTAAGTGCTCTACCACTGAGCCACAACTCCAGCTCCCCAACTGTATATATTCTTTTTTAAAAAAAAATTATTTATTTTTTAGTTGTAGTTGGACACAATACCTTTATTTTATTTACTTATTTATATGTGGTGCTGAGGATCGAACCCAGGGCTGCGCATGTGGTAGGCGAACATTCTACCGTTGAGCCACAACCTCAGCCCCTCTTTTTTTAAAAAATTGTTTTTAGTTATACATGGGCACAATCTTTATTTTGTTTATATATTTTTTTGTGGTGCTGAGGATTGAACATAGTTTCTCACATGTTTGAGGCATGTGCTCTACCACTGAGCCACAGTCCCAGCCCCCTACATATTCTTGATATGAGTTCTTTGTGAGATGTAAAGTTTGCAGATATTTTCTGTGGTTTATTTCCTAATTCTTCATGACCAAAATCATGAGGATTTGTTTTTCCTATTTTCTTCTAAGAGTTGTATAGATTTATATTTTATACTTAGACGCACAATTTGTTTGGAGTTAATTTTTCTATATAATATAGGTTTAGGTTTGAGGTGTAATTTTTATTTGCATATGGATATCCAGTTGTTACAGCATTATTTGTTATAAAAACTGTGATTTCTCCTTTGTTGAAAATCAGTTCTTCATGTTTGTGTTAGTCCATTTTGGAGACCCTCTGGTCTGTTTCCTTGATCTATGTGTTTGTTCTTTCACCAATACTACATTGTCTTGACTACTGTAGATTTATAGTCCGTCTGAAAAATCAGGTAGTATGAATCCTCCAACTTTTTTTTTTTTTTTTTCAGAATTGTTTTGTTTTCTCTAGTTTCTTTATATTTACATATAAATTTTAGAATCTGCTTGTCTGTATCTACAAAGAATGCTGCTGGATTTTGATTTGAATTGCATTAAATCTGGAGGTAATTTTGGGGAGAATTGTTATTTAATTGATAAGTTTTCTTTTATCTTCTTTAGAGTTTTATAGTTTTTGGCTTACAGATCCTTATTTTTAAATCTTTTACAGATTGGACTATGGAAATGGAAAGTGAAGAAGAAAAATGGGAGAAGCTGGATGCAGAATTTGATCACTTTGTGGTAGATATGAAGCCCTTTGTTCTAAAATTACTCCATAGGTCAGGTAAGATGTGTTTGAAAACTAGATTTTTTTTTTTTGGTACCAGGGAATCAAACCAGGGGCACTTAATCACTAAGCCGTACTCCCAGCCCTTTTTTATGTTTTATTTAGAAACAGGGTCTCATAAGTTGCTTAGCACCTGGCTAAGTTGCTGAGGCTGGCTTTGAACTCGTAATCTTCCTGCTTCAGCCTCCAGAACCGCTGGATTACAGGCATGCCTCACTGCACCTAGTGAAACTAGATTTTTAAGATTAATTTTTTTCTTTATATTTAATTAAACCAGTGAGCTGTCAAAATGGATAGCTGAAATATTTTAGTAATAATTTTTGTCATTGACGTACGTTGTTTACTTTGAGCTATTCATGGGTAAATAAAAATTTAGTGACTGTGTTCTTTAAGCTGTGAAAAGATCTTATTGTGGTACCACTTTTTACATGTCATGAACACTGATCTCTAAAGTTAGCCACAACTGTGTTTACCTCCTTCTGTGAAAGTGCCTTCTATTTTAGGAACCTATTATTCACTTATTCTCTGATCCTTTTGTCTATCAGAGCAGAAGAGAATCCATTGGTCTTTTATGATTATGACTGTTTGAATAAAATCAGGTGTGAATGAATTTTTGTTGCTATTTTGTCTTCATTTCCCAATCTGTTATTTTTTATTTTGGAATGAGGGCCTTTTTCTCAAGTTAGAGAATTTTCTGATGATTTAAGGCATCACAGAGCAATTGGAGTGAATTTGGGGGACTTAGGAGATTCTTTCCGTTGTAGTAGGTATAAGGTTGGATGTGAAGGTGAACCTGATTTGGTAGCTGTTGAGTAGATGGTTTAGAGTGGGACCAAGAAACTATGGCCTTTACTCTTTCCAAGTTCCCTGTTTCCTGAGGTGTCTGAGTGAACTCTATATTTAAAGTGAGGAAATTATTCAGTATTAGATATTTATTTCAGGGGCTGCAATGGGAGAAGGGAGTGTGACATGAATTGTGCACTCTGTGCCTACTCACTTCCAAAGCCTGCAGCCTTTCCTAGTCCAGGGCAGCTTGGCACAACTTTCCCTTGAATCTTCTTACTGTATCTCCTTTCTTGCCTTGCTGGACCTTAACTTTTTCTTTCTTTCTTTGTTATTTTTTTCTGGTTGTTGTTGTCGATGGACCTTTAATTAATTAATTAATTAATTAATATGTGGTGCTGAGAATCGAACCCAATGCCTCACAAATGCTAGGCAGCTACTCTACCACTGAGCCACAACCCCAGCCCCTCCTTTTGGTCTTTTTGTTTTTGATTTGCTAATTAGGAAAAATTTGTAGCAAAATTTCTCACTACAAATATGTTTCAAGTCAAACCACCCTCTTATCTTCTTTTAAAAATGAATTAAAGCAGGGCGTGTGCCTATAGCCCCAGTGACTTGGGAGGCTGAATTAGGAGGATCAAAAGTTCAAGGCCAGCCTTAAAAACTTAATGAGACCCTGTCTCAAACTAAAAAAAATAAAAAAGGGCTGGGCATGTGGCTCAGTGGTTAAGTGCCCTTGGGTTCAATCCCTGGCCAAAAAATAAAACAGAAGGATTCCAGATACATAGAATTGATTACTTATAATCTTTGGTTTATGACACATTGTCAGTATTGGAACATTCATTGTTCTCCTTAATTAATTAATTGATTATTTGGTACTAGGGATTGAACCCAGAGACACTTAACCATTGAGCCTCGTTTCTATCTCTTTTCACTTTTTATTTTTAGACAGGGTCTCACTGATTTGCTTAGGGCTTCACTAACTTGCTGAGGATGGCTTTGAACTTGGAATCCTCTTCTCTCAGACTCCGGAGCTGCTGGGACTGTGCTTGGCTATTTAATTAATGTATAATAAGTATGTGGGAACTCATCTCAGTCAAGAACTAGAAATTCATAATAGCTTACTTTTTCTTGTAGCTAAAGTCTATTATTTTATTTTATTTTTTTTAGTTGCATATGGACACAATACCTTTTTTTTTTTTTTTAGTTTATTTTTATGTGGTGCTGAGGATCAAACCATTGCCTCACATGTGCTAGGCAAGTGCTCTACCACGGAGCCACAACCCCAGCCCCCATAGCTTTTATTTCTATAGGGAGATTTGTAAAGTGATAACTTTAGTGATTTTTTTATAGGTAAAACAATAAATGAATATGACCTTTATAAACTCAGAAATTAGAGCAGACTTTATTATTTGTGTTAAATATATAGTCCTCAAATTACAGTAAACAGATAAATGTTAATATCAGAGTAGTTTTTCTGAGACTTAAAACAATCTGATATCATGGCAAGATAGTATGTATAATCAGTGGATCATTTATCACATGTGAACTAAACTGTGCTATATTTTTAGGTAGATTTTTCTTTTCTTTTCTTTTCGGTACTGGGGATTGAACTCAGGGGCCCTCAACCACTGAGCCACATTGCCAGTGCTATTTTGTATTTTATTTGGAGACAGGGTCTCACTTGAGTTGCTTAGCACCTTGCTTTTGCTGAAGCTGGCTTTAAACTCTCAATCCTTGTGCTTCAGCCTCCTGAGCTGCTGGGATTACAGGCATATGCCACCATGCCCAGCTAGGTAGAGTTTTAAAAGGATAATTATTTTACAAAATTACATATAAATAGCACTCACTTATTTTTAGTGATGTTAAAAGTCTTAAGTAAATCAGCTACAAATCCCTGGAAATCATTGACTTCAGCAAATAAAACATTTTGATTTAATTTTAGAGTAAGTATAAAATGCTCGATATGTCAGAGGTTGCATTTTATCTCTTTCTATGTTTGTCCAGTTAGAATTCTAGACTCTTCAGTATGTCTAAAGTCATTTTAGAGTTGCAAATTTTAACTAAAAAATTTATTCAGTAGTCATCCAGAGATTTTATTTTTGTGAAAATTTTTCTTTGTATTTTTTTTTGTCCAACTACTGATTAAAGTTAAATTGTAAATTTGGAGTTTATGGCTTGTGAGGCAACTCTAGTTCACCTTTTTTGGTGAAGTTTTATTGGAACCATTTTTTTTTTTTTTTTAATGTATAGCCTGTGACTGCTTTGTTGGTGCAGTAGCTTAGTCGAGTAGTTATGCCACATGGCCTCCTAAACCTAGTTATTTACTATTTGAATCTTTATAAAATTTTTTTTCCATTTCTTGTTCTAGACTAAAGCAGGTACATTATGGTCTTTGTAATTAAATGTTGTATCTTCTGAAAAATCAAATTTCTTATAGTTCTTTTGTATTTATAGAACGGCAGAGGTGTGCTCTTTGGATTAGAAAGTTGTGTGAACCTTCAGGAACAGGTGCAGGAATAATTGGCAGGAAGAATCGGAACCTGTATGCAAAATTGTTATTGCATATGCTTAAGCGAGGAGTGCTTGAAGGCCCTTTTACACACCGCCCTGAACCAGGGACACTAAAAACATTACCTTCATACATGGTAGGTATTATTGACCAGAGTGTATTAGTTTCATTTCTTCAAAAGTGTGTAAGTTTTCATCCCTTTGGGAATACTAGGTTATGTGTCCTAGTAACACATTAATTAAAAGTATTTTTTTTCCTCTCTAATTCAGTTTTTTCTACTTTCAGTAGAAAACAGGAATTTACCTATAATGGGAATAACCTTGTTGATTAATTCAATTGTATTCTACAATATTGCTAAAAAAATGAATGAATTTTTAATATTGAACTTTAACTGCCAACTGATTTTCATTGGATTGTCGTGGTGACATTTTATGTATTTCAGTAGATTCTAGCTTATTAAACTCTTTCATAAATATTATTTTAAAATTTATAAGAGGTTGTATTGGATGACTTCTATAAATTCCCTTCTACTGTAATGCTGGAGTTTAGAAGTGATTTTCTATACTTCATTTAATTTTATTTTTATAAACAGTTTTGTTCCAATGCTTGCTTGATGAATTGTCACTGTCTGGTTCCTAATAAACATGAAATATACCTTAGTTTGTGCGGGATTTGAATACTTGAGAAGTCTTGCAGGAGTATTAGGTAATTGATAGTTGTTGTCAGGATATCCATGTATTTTTTTTAATGAACTGTAAAATTCTTATGTAGTATAAGACTTTTATGTATTTTATTAATTCACATAAGGCAAAATTTAGTTACAAGGCATGCTAAAATTTAGTTACAAGGATAATTCTTGTTTTTGGTCGAGGAATGTCAAAAGAACATATAATGGATAATAGTTTTATCCATTGTATGTTCAAGTAGAGCCATGCATTTTGCTTAAGTTAAGATCTATAGTATTTGGGATCGTAGTTGCTTGACTTGTTATTTGATCAGATATTAGCATGACGACAGTAGTCGTGTCCCCTTATCTGTGAGGGAGATGTTCCAAGAACTGTCCCTCCAATGGATGACTGAAACAGTGGGTAATACCTAATTCCTTATACTGTTCTGACAACTAAGACAGCTACTAAATGACTAGTGTATACAGTGTGAATATGCCTGGAGGGACATAGTGGGATGGATGGTGTGAGGTTTCATCATAGTACTCAAACACAATTTAAAATTTAATTGTTGATTTCCAGAGTTTTCCATTTAATATTTTTGGGCTATAGTTGACTGTAACTAAAACCATGGAAAGTGAAACTGTGGTTAAGAGGGAAACTTCTGTATTCCATTTAAAAAGAACTTGTTATGCACTTCTGATTTGGGATAGAGAGTCGTGGGTCACTTTTCCCTATATAGAGCCCCTTGAAGATTTTCTGTATAGGATTGGGAGAATTGTTGTAGAGGTGTCTGGGCAGTGAAGTTTTCTTTAGAAATTTGTCATGCAGCCTGGTTAATTTGAAGAGAAACAAATGGGCTAATGCCATTCTCAGCAACTAGAGTAGAACATTCTATGAAGTACATTCAGATGTTAAGACGTGAGTGTGCATGGTGTCCTATTTTCCCATTCACATTCAATTTCATAGAGTCATAAGGGAGAGCTTTATTTTACAAATAAAATAATGAGAAGGCCTAGGGACCAAAAAGTTAGTAATATGGCCAGAACTAACTCCCAGGTCTCTCACTCATTTGCTCACACCTCATCAAGGGATTCCTAATTTTAATTTCTGGTTTGTTATTGATTGTGGTTTTTCTGTTCACCGAGTATGTGAATGTGTACACAAAATAGTTAATGATCACAGAAAGAAATAGGGTATCACAGGATTTAAAAATATCTTTCCATTTAACTCTTCATAAAGTCAATATCACTTTTGTTATATAATTATTAGTTTTTTTTTGTATTTATAGGTGAACAACGTGTCTTTATTTTATTTTATTTATTTTTATGCCGTACTGAGGATGGGACCCAGTGTCTTACACATGCTAGGCACGCACTCTGCCCCTGAGCTACAGGCTCATTCCCTCAGATTTTTTATATAGCACAACATAACTGAAATGTGAAGATGTTATCCATTTTATTTAAATATTTTGTAATTTGTTGTGCATTGTGATACTTTTTAGGTATTTATATGTAAAGAATTTTGCGTATTTGAAAGACTGTTATTGAACTTGAAACTTGATGGAAATTGTTTCTTTATAGTACATTTTGAAAGAATAACTTCTCTAATTTTTAAAAATCAGTCCATCTATTTTGATGAGCCAAATGCAGCACAAGCAAAAAGTTCAAGCCCAGAGAGCTTACCCCACTGGGTAATGGGTGAGCTGGGGACAAGTGAACACAAATTAAGTGAATCATGGAAACTTTCTTCTGGCGAAGATAGCACTTTGGTGCTGTCACCAACTGGTGCACACAGGTACGTTAAGAAAATGGGATTCCGAATGTTTTTCATCTTTCAACCTGTCCTTGAAACCGATTCATATATTGAATTTTTCCTCTTTTTCTTTTTAATAAATTGTTTTGCTTTATATTTCTGCTAAAGTTGAGTACTGTGCGTGGATATTGTATAGGCAAAATAACAGGTTTGTTTTTCCATTTACTGTATGTCTAAGATTATTTTATATTTTTCGCAGCTTTTATGGATATCTATTAACTGCATGTATTTTCATTGCTTGGAAAGTGGTGCCTGAGAATCTTTAAATAACATAACTGTGTTTGTTTTTTTCCTTCATGACAAGAGTTAGTTAAGAACATTATCAATGATTTCAACAAAATGACACCTTACATATCCATCTTGGAACTTTTGCTTGAATCTCCTTTTCCCTCATTGAACAGTATTTATTTTTATTTAATGAAATAAAAATGTAAACATAAACCCCATTAACTAGAGTTTTAATCTTAAATAGGATTTTTAGTTTAAATAAGACTAACTTCTAATAATACTTCAGCTAACTTCAAGATTTACTGCCATTACTACTACAGTATAATTTTTTGCTGTTAAGAAGAATAGATTTAAATTTGGACTTTTATCCTATTTTTATTTTTCCTATTGGCAATGTTCTCTAAAATGTTAGAATATTGGATAGCATCTGTTGACCAGTACCCTACTTCATACTCAGCACTGTCTTGGTAATTTTAATTATAGGACTTTGTTTCTGTTATCAATGTAATCTTTCTTTTCCCACTATAATATTTTTGGCTTATTCCTTAATCAGATACAGAAATGTAATTAGAAATTTGCAACTTCTCCATAGTTGATGTGGTCTCGCTGTGTATTTTTCAGACCTAAGATGACATAGTGGAAAAGAACAGATGAACACAGAGCAAGCAATCCAGTCCATGAAATTACTTTGTTAGAAAGGGGAAACAAATTAAAATGGAGAGGCAGTGTTGAAGAGGTGATGTAATTAAGGACATGTTAGGAAGAATAAGAGGAAATGAATAGGACAATTTAAAGGAGGTAGTATTAAATACTTATTTTAAAATCCATAGGTAAATAAAATTAGAAGAGGTATAATTTTTGTTAGCCGATAGGTAGGTAAGCGGGCATGTAAAGAGATTGTGGTCTCTGTATCAAGAAAAATACTATTCTTAATTTGGTTGCAGAATCCATCCATTGTTTGCTAAAATATTTGCCTAAAGTCCACCTAAATCCTAGATTCCTTTCTAGGTGTGATGAACATGGAGTTTTATAGTATAAAGGTGAATTAAGGGTAGTAACTATGTCTTTGAGCTTAGACCAGAGGTTGAAATTGATAATCTTTCTGAACTGAATGAATTATGTTGGTAAATTTGTTTGCCTTACATAGTGTCTTTAAAGATTTTTGAGTGAGTTGTCAAAATTAACAATTGGGAAATTTCATATCAAAACTCAATTTTGTGGTTCCTCTTAAAAACTAGAAATCTGATAATCTTTCCAGAAGATAGCCATGTGTCCCCTAGATTAGATAAGTAATACTTGCTTAATCCCTGGATGTGATATATCTTCACTCTTTCCTCCTAGTTCCAGACACTGAGTTTGATGTTAATTGCATTCATTAGTGAGCTTGCATTTTTTTCTTAAAGTAGATTTAAAAGGAACACGAAGTGTTATTTTTCTATTTTTGTATTCTATCAAAAGTGCAAAGAAGAAAGAAGAAGGATTGTATAATTCAACAAGGAAAGAGACTTGTCTTGTAGAAGAGAACAGTATGAGGATACTGTTGGCATCTTAATCTCTCATTTGTTACCTGTTTAAGTTCTGCTGACATTTGATTTAGATAAATGGAGGAGAGAGATAAGTATGTGGATAAATTCAGTGTGATGGTTATGTGTAGTCATGGAAAAATTTGCAGAGATTGAAGTGTATATAAGAGAAGGTTCAGAATAGGACAGACTTGAGATTTCCAGGAGTCCAGGTGAATGGACTTTTTCCTTCCTTGGAACATAGGATAAAGTTCAAGAAAATACACTGAGAATATTCTTTAATTATTACTCAGTGACTTTTCTGGAAAATGAAACCAGAGTAAAATCCTCACATTTTTAACAAATAGTTTTCTTTGTTGGTCACCTATAATTAAATGTCATTTTAATGCAAAAGAATTACTTGAGTCTGAGGCATTTTCAAATATATAAAGAATAATTAATGGGAAAAGCAGATAGTCTTATGATTCTGGTTAGTGCTATCCATTCTTCAGATGTTATAACTTCAAAAGAACCCTATGTGATATCCCAGCTACCTGGGTAGCTTAGATGATCCCATTACTTACTCCTGTAGCACTCTGTGCTTCCTCTTGCACTCATCACATGAACAAAGGTTTAATATCTATTCTTTGTGCTAGATTGTAATTTCTTGAGATAGGAATGCTGTTTTTTCTATTTGCACTACATTTTCAGCTCCCAGCGCTGGGTGGGAACATATTAGGAATTCCATAAGTATTTATATTTGGTGGGTGTATGCATGCATGGATGAATGGATTGTGTTGGGCATTGCCACATATTTAATCTGTAAAAAGACCCTTTAAGACAGGTATATTATGGAATTTTGTCCAAAAAGGATTTTTCATTTAACTTAGAAAATGTTGGGGGAAGAATAAATTTTAGACAACATTGAAGGAAGTGCAGATACATGCAACAGAGATGTCTCTCACACTGTGAGGAATGTAGTATGCAGCAAAGGAGCTGGCAGGGATACTCTGAACTATCACTTTGGTCAAATGTCAGGCTATCACTAGGGCTAATGGTCATTTAGGACTGCCAAAACAAAACTTCTCAGAATATCTTACGTTTCTTTTAATTTAATAATTATAATTTGATTTATTTTAAAATTTCAATTTGATTTAAAACTTTAATTCATATGCATATTGTTTAAGAGATATTTGTAGTTCTACATACTTGAAGTCATTTAAAAAATAAAACTAACATTTATTTTAGCTAGCCGGCAAAATTGATTTTAAGGCCAAATACATAATGTGTAATATCAGATCAGATGTGGTGGTGAATAGTTTATTGATGCTTCTGTCTGTACATTTTTTTTTTAAAGTTGTTCTTTTACTCTGAGTGGTCATACTGTGCTAATGAAAAAGTTAGTATCTGCTAATGTTGACCTAATACATCTAATCAGTTCTGTAAGAAATTGTTTTAAAAAGTTTAAGAGGCTTATAATATTTGACACATGTATGTTTTTATAGTGAATAATTTATTGTTACTTAGAACTGAAGTTTAATGCTGCCTCATAAATTTTACAACCACTTCAACTTGTCCTTTGAAAAACCTCTTTAATCTTAAAAGATTTTTCCCCCTTAGTGTTTCTTTTTTGATCACTTTATAAAATCCTGCTTTACTTAGACCTTTTTGTATGTGAAGTATTTCTAATGGCATTTTAGATTATGCTGTTTGTGCCCTAGCCTTTTTATAGTATTAAAGATGCAGAGTCCTTTTGAAGCTTTTTTGTTAGGGCTCCCTATTCAGTAGAGATGGCATCTTTCCTTTACCTTTATCCGTTCTGTAGGATATGGTAGTGGCCTTGTTCCACACACTTTAAAAGTATGATGAGGTTATTTTCTGTCTGTCTTATCATGCTTGCTTTTTTTTTCCCCACCAAATACACAGCATATACTAGTATACTTGATATTTCATACCAAAAAGCTTCAACACATAGCTAGTCCTGTCCCTATTGTTGTCTTCTTCTTTAAAAAAAATTTTTTTTAGTTGTAGATGGTCAGCATGACTTTATTTTTTATTTGTTCTTATTTTTATGTTGTGGTGAGGATTGAAGCCAGTGCCTCACCCATGTGAGGCAAGTGCTCTGCCACTGAGCTATAGCCCCAGCCCCTGATTGTCTTCTTTGCTTTCTTTTTTCTCATTTATTATATATTGATAGTCTTTTAGAAGAACCACTTGTCCAAATGTCATTGCTTTTTTCTTATAATTCTGTTATTGCATTTTTATGTCAAATACCTGGCTCTTTTCTTGACAAAGAAATACTTCAGTTATATTTGACTTTGGAGCATGATTTATAAAATATCTATAAAGAGATTATAAACTTAGATCTTACCCTATAGAGTTTGGCTAATTTCACTTATTTCTGCAATCATGGGCTATGTCAATGCGTATTACCTTTCTGGTTATTCTTCAGATGCTTAGCACTGAAATCCAGTAAAGACCTTGTCTTTGTGGTAGACAGACTTTAAGTTGGCCCCATGGTCCTTCTCCTGGTGTCTCTTATGTAATTCTCTCCCCTCAAGCATAGGGAGGACCTGCGACTTGCTTCTAGCCAATAGACTATGGAAATGATGATGGGATGTCACTCCTGTGATTACAGTATATTATATAAAACTCCATCTTGCTAGCTGACTTGATCTAGAGTCATTCTCTTTGCTGACTTTGAAGCAGCAGCTGCCATGAATCATATATCCATGAGGAAATGAATGCTGCTGACAACCCTGCAAACAGGGAAGTGGATCTTTCCTTAGTTGAGCCCCCAGCTGAGAACGAAGCTCTGGTCCAAACGTGATTGCAGCCATATGTAATCCTAAGCAGAGGACCTAGCTCAGCTGTGTCTGGACTCATGATCCACAGAAATAAGAAAATATGTGTGTGTTGTTTAAAGCTGCTAAGTTTGTAGTAATTTGTTATGCAACAGTAGATGACCAATACAGTATTTATCTTCATTTTAGGTTTTGCAATCTGTATACAAAGCATGCTTGTTATAAAAACTTCAGGGTAGAAATATGTAAAGTAAAAAGCCAAAGCTTTTTTGTGTTTTTTTCCTTCTTTCCTCATGAGAGGCAATCACCATCAACAGTTTGGTTCACATTATTCTACACTAGACAGTTAACACCCACACCTGTGTAATTAAAAATTATGAATTGACTTATACTATATATTCTGTTCTGTGACTTGCTATTTTTTGACTTAACTATATCTTAAATCTTT